ATTTATCAAGATGTGAGAGAGAGATTGTTTTGGCCTCACTTTACAGATTCATTTTTCAAGTACTTGTAAAGTTTCACAAAATGTCACACAGACCATCTGTGAATTTTAATAGGCATTCACTCTTCTGACACTAAAAATTCAATCACCAATTGCCACTTTGTTCAGAATGAGAGAGACAAGTTTACATCTAACTTAACTGTTATGCAACAAAGCAAACCAAGACTTCACGCATAAAGACAAAAACATTCACTGCTAGTAAATGGTGACTGTCACGTGTTTCTGTACTTCAGAATGCTACAAAAGGAGACATTATTTATCGATTGACGCTTGTACATATTTAATTTTTGAATTTTAATAATTTTATTTAATGTATAAATAAGTTTGAGTTTAAAACATTGGTGTAAACCTGCACATTCACTCTTATATTTTTTTCTGGTAAAGTATAAGAAATTTATAGGAAATATTTTTAATTTTATATCTTTGAATTTTAATAATTTTATTGTTCAGGATCAGCATTTTTACCAGCACCTGAAGTTGATGTTGGTGTAGTAACTTTCACACCTTTGAAAGAGCCTTTGATTAAATGTCCTTTTCCATTAGTAGAAAAAGTTAATCGGACTCTGTTTCACACGAGACAGAAAATGTGTAAACACACTGTGAAGTAAGTTATATAGATATTCTGCATTAAAAAATAGTTTAAAAATACAAAACAAGAATGATTAAACTAAAATAACTAAATTATTTTAGATTGTTATTTCCAAAAAACAGACAGCAGTTGTTGAATGAAGTTTTTCGTCAGACAGGAATTGATCCAGAAACGCCTCCATTTAAATTAACTAATGAAGAAATTGGTCAAATCTGTATGTTATATGAGCAGTTTTGTAATGAATATTCAGATATTAGAGATTATAATTTTAGATGAAATTATTTAATATATAAGAATCATTTTGTATAAATTGTTATATATTGTATAATAAACTACAATAATTTTAGAGACTATAACCCTAATTTTATAACATTTTTTCTCACATACTCTTTCTGATTTTTCTATAGAAGAAGAATTATATAATGTTAGTAGTAGTTGATGACATTTTACAACTATAGAACTATGCATAATATATTATTTATTATACAGTACACCCTTTTATAACATGGTAGATATGTTCAGTGTTTTATGAAATTCATGTTGTATGAGTCTTTAAATACATGAGCCAATCACAGCCCGGCACATATACAGTTTATGGCTATGGCTGTTTGAAAGGTTTTCTTCCATAAAATTAATCGATTGTAGACTAATTTGACTGAACATTTCCAAAACATGTATAATTTTTTGGGACTAATCCATATAAACTATGCTATAAACAAAAAATTATAGGATTACTTACCGAGTGTGCACCGTTCAATGATGCCATTGCTTAAGCTTGTTTTCGTCGTGGAGCTTGTCATAGAATGGTGCTCATGTGCTTCATGATAAATTATTTTTTTTTGGCGGAAAATTTGCTTAACTTTGGAGACATCATTAATATAAATATAATTTTTATGGCCATTAGAGCAGCGGACCTAATGTCCGCTGCTCGTTTAAAGTAAATGGTTTGTGCAATATCCACTGTTGGTCTAGATTTGACCAATCCTGTCGCAACACAAGTTGGTGAGGACATTTTACTGTATCATATGAGTCTCTTTTAGTGTATTTATACGAATATGATTGCAATTTTTTTGCTGTTGTATACGAATCCATATTATATGAACTCGTTTTATAGAGAGGTCTACTGTATGTGAATACAAGTTGCCAGCAGATACAGTAGTTGATTAACTGCTTAAGCCCCGAGCAATTTTTGATATAAATGTAATTAAACATAAAAAATACTTAAAACTGAAAAAAAAGAAAGAAATGCGTTAATTTTGAAGAAAAAGCTTCAAATTTTATTTTCCTTTGTCACGCCTTTCTGTGAAATTTGACACTGATGAATCATTGTTTACACAGCTGGATGACCTTGAGAACAGCTGGAGTCGGATTTCCCGGGACATTCTCAGAATTCTCGGGAGGCAATAGGTTTATAGTAGGGTGAATACTAGTTGGCTGTATATTTTTAAATATTTTTAAAAAATTAAAACTTTTATTGTGATTTCCGTCCCCCCAACTTAATTAAACTTATATATAATAAAATCTATTAATTAAAAAAATTAAAAAACTATTGGAGGTCGTTTTTGATATCAGAAAGTAGCTTTAAATAACTTTACCAAAGTAAAATCCGTGCACTACAACTTTAGAACGATTAATTAAATTTGATAAAAAAATCCCATTAAAAAACAATTAAGCGTTAATTGTGCGTCATTAAAGGTTGATTAAAAAAAAAAATTTCAAAACTCCCCTTAAGGACCATGTTTTATGTGGTCCTTATGTGGTCCTATGTAACTTGCCCGAGATATCTCGAGCTTGAGGCTTAAGGGGGGGCTACATTTATGGAGATGTGGTGTGTAGAGCAGTAACGAAAGTAGCATGGCAAGGAAGAAGTAATAGCACAGCAAGAAAAGCAGAGAGGAAACAGCTCTGATTAATTTTTTAGCATTCATTGTAATTACTACTAAATATATGGATAAATGATAATTTGATACTAATAATAGCCAGAAAAGTTAAGGAATAATTACTATTACAAATTACTATTTAGTGTTTACATTTCTTTTTTTATTTATTTTTGTTAACAGTCAATAATTATTATTATTAGTAATTAATATATTTTGTTATAGTAATTTTTTTTAAATAATTACTAAAACAAAATCATTTTATTAAAAATATTAATTACTGTTATTGGTTACAAATTATAAGTAAAACACTGCATAAATTTCATCAATAAGGAGAATGGAGNCACATAAAGAACTATTACACTGTTTATTCAAAATAGAACTTAACTCTAAACTTTGAAAATTTCTTCTTTCAATTTACCTGGAGAGATAATTGTTTTATCCCTCAGGCTATGAGGGGATTTTATATAGCAAAACCAGTTAAAAAACTTTTGCTTCAACCAATTTTGTCGCAAACAGATCAAAGCAATTTTGACCGATCTTGCGTTTAAAGAATTAAACATGGTAATTATGAGGGTTGACTGATAAATAAGGGTTCCATTTTCTATAAAATTAGTTTGGGGGAAAAAGGATAATGTGACTACAGTAGAGCGTCGATTATCCGAATCAATTGGGGACTGGGGTTGTTCGGAAGATCGATGTTTCAGATAACCAATTATGTATGAAAAAATATATTAATTTATCCCAGTTTGAGTTTAAAACATTGGTGTAAATGTAAAATTTTTTTTTTTTGGAAAACATTAGAATTCCTCGGAATATAAATACTCTATGGTAGATCATTGATTATCCTAAATAATTGAGGCAGGGTGGTTTTG